TTCCTTCCTTTTAATTATTGGTTTACTTTGGCAAATAGTAATTCAGTGACTGTGAAACAACCATACAGACAGCATACGTGAGAGAAAGAACAAATTTGCAATCCTGAAATATAAGTTGTCTGAGGTCATTCAGTTGTTGAAAATTGGTAAAGGTTTTAAAATGTGATAATACCCAGTATAATAAAGGTTTGGACGAAAAGAGCAATCTTGTGGCTCCATTGCTAATGATGGCCTTAAATATGCTCATTTTATTTCAATAATTCTAGTGCTATTAACTTATCTCAAAGAAATAATCAAAGTAGCCTAGAAACAATGCTTACCCTAGGATATCTTAAATGTTCAACATTTAGAGGAATAGCTGAACAGTCCAACTAAAACTAGACAATAGAATGTTATGCATAAAACTCATAAAAATACGTACATACTGACTGAAAAATGCACTGTAGTACTAAAATACTTAGAAAAAATAAGAATTTGGGCTGGGCCAGTGGCTCATGCCTGTAATCCAAGCACTTTGGGAGGCCCAGGCAGGCAAATCACCTGAGGTCAGGAGTTCAAGACCAGCCTGGGCAACATGGTGAAACCCAGCCTCTACTAAAAATACCAAAATTAGTTGGATGTGGTGGTGGACACCTGTAATCCCAGCTACTCGGGAGGTTGAGGCAGAAGAATCACTTGAACCTGGGAGGTGGAGGTTGCAATGAACCAAGATCACACCATTGCACTCCAGCCTGCATGTCAGAGCAAGACTCCATCTCAAAAAAATAAATAATAAGTAAGAATTCGTGGCCAGGCACGGTGGCTTACACCTGTAATCCCAGCACTTTGGGAGGCTGAGGCGGGCTCATCACAAGGTCAGGATTTCAAGACCAGCCTGACCAACATGGTGAAACCCCATCTCTACTAAAAATATAAAAATTAGCTGGGCATGGTGACACATTCCTGTAATCCCAACTACTTGGGAGGCTGAGGCAGGAGAATTGCTTGAACCCAGGAGGTGGACATTGCAGTGAGCTGAGATGGTGCTGTTGTACTCCAGTCTGGGCGACAAAGCAAGACTCCATCTCAAAAAAAAAAAAGAATTCGTAGTGAATGAACGATTGTATAAAAGTATGAACAGACAGATAGAATGGAGAGGAAGTAGCTATCGTGGTTTAGCTGAGTAGTGACTTACGTTTTCTTTTTTTTTTTTTTAAAGACAGGGTTTCACCATGTTGGTCAGGCTGATCTTGAACTCCCAACCTCAGGTGATCTGCCCGCCTTGGCCTCCAAAGTGCTTGGATTACAGGTGTGAGCCACCATGCCCAGCGGACTTCTGTTTTCTTTTTCTTTTTTTTTTTTTTGAGACGAAGTTTCGCTCTTGTTACCCAGGCTGGAGTGCAATGGCGCAATCTCGGCTCAGCGCAACCTCCGCCTCCTGGGTTCATGCAACTCTCCTGCCTCAGCCTCCTGAGTAGCTGGGATTACAGGCATGCGCCACGATGCCCAGCTAATTTTTTTTGTATTTTTAGTAGAGACGGGGTTTCACCATGTTGACCAAGGATGGTCTCCATCTCTTGACCTCGTGATCCACCCGCCTCAGCCTCCCGAAGTGCTGGGATTACAGGCTTGAGCCACTGCGCCTTGCCGACTTCTGTTTTCTTAAAGGAGCTTTATGATTTTGAAATAACCTTCAATGAACAATGTGTCTTCTGCATACTTTAATGTTATTAATTTTTTAATGATTTTATTCCAGATACTTCCTTAAGAATCTTCTTTCACTTTTTAGAATTAGGATTAGAGTATTGACCGTAAATGTTTAACATTCTAATGGGGCAAATTCTATTTACAGAACTTTGAATCCTTGCAGTGTAGAAGTGTTGTCTATATAGCCCATCATTTTGACCCTTTTAAATTATAAATACAACATAGAAGTGCTGAGATGCTAGGAATATTGCCTTCAATAGGCAAGTAACACAATTACCATTTACAGTGATTTCCAAAATAAGAGTTCATCCTTCTTACATACAATTAATCCACAAGTAGGTGATTGCTAGCACTGGTGGTTCCATAGCTCAGAACAGCAGTAGCAATATTGCTGTGATTCTCTTTTTTTTCCTGGCTACAGATTGCTGCTAAGCTTCAGCTCCAGCTCCAGGAATCACATCCTTATTTAAGGCAAGAAAAAAGAAAGGGGAAGGGGTCACCACAGCCTTAATAAAAGCTTTCCAAAACATACGCTGTACCCCAGAAAACTTTTGCTTAGACCTCATGGGCCAGAGCTCAGTGCTAAGGAGTCAGTGCTGGAGAATGTTTGTCTTTTGAACATCTACAGTGGGAAGTGGCAATGGAGAAGGGAACTGGGATGACTCTGGGTACTCAGTAGACCATGGGGAGTAGGACATGTTCTTGTAGTGGTTGATATAGTGTGTATATACAAGTTCATTTTTAAGATTGGAGAGTTATATGCAACAATTATATCTCAAAAAATGTCCTAGTTTAAGTCTCTGGACTATCTCTGCTAAATTCTGTCTTAGTAAAGGGCAAGTTAGATGTATATTTTAGGACTTAGTAATTAACAGGAATGCAGCTGGTCATGGTGGCTCACACCTGTAAGCCACAAGTGGGCAGATCACTTGAGGCCAAGAGTTTGAGACCAGCCTAGCCAACATGGTGAAACCCCGTCTCTGCCGAAAGTACAAAAATTAGACAGTCTCATAACCTGGCCTCAAACTAAATAAATAAAGTTTTAAAAATGAAATAACAGGAGTTTTCAAAATGGGTAAAAATCCCATGCTTTATCACTAACATATAGACAGGGACTAACATCCACAGTTACATACACAGCAGCTGCCTCTTCAGTGTGGCTGACTTTTCTCCATTTTAAGCAGTAACTTAACATGTGCCCTAAATTACTGTCCTCCAACCATCTCTTTTATTTTGTCTTTCCTATCCTTCCCAAAAAGGAAGCCAAATTAATTAATAAACTGAAATTTAAAAAGGATGTGAGTTCCCTGTACGGGAAAGTAGCAAGTCTAAACTTGAGGGGTTTTTTGTGAGTTTTTTGTTTTGTTTTGTTTTGTTTTGTTTGAGACAGAGTATCGCTTTGTCACCCATGCTGGAGTGCAATGGCATGATCTCGTCTCACTACAACCTCTGCCTCCTGGGTTCAAGCAATTCTCCTGCCTCAGCCTCTGGAGTAGCTGGGATTACAGGTGCCTGCCACCACACCCAGCTAATTTTTGTATTTTTAGTAGACACGGGGTTTCACCATATTGGCCAAGCTAGTCTTGAACTCCTAACCTCAGGTGATCTGCTCGCTGGCCTCCCAAAGTGCTGGGAATACAGGCGTGAGCCATCGCACCCAGCCTAAACTTCAGTTTTAATTTTGAAAGCAGTGGTTTGGGGAATATCTTGGGGAAACAGGCAGGAGAATATTAGGGTTTTTTCTGCCTATTATTGTGCTCAAGTGCCATAATCTAATCAGTCAGTGGTCTCACTTTCTTGCTGTCCTTCATTTTAAATGGGCAATACTAATGAGAGTTGTCATTAAATTCTATGTGCCTTTCAAAATATCTGAAATCACACTGACTAAACAAAATGAATTTCTTAGTGAGTCTTGCCAAGACTCTCAAATGCTTACTTTCTTGAATATTATAAATGGATTATAATTGTTTTCCCTTAAAATTATCTTTTTTCCCCAAATAATCAATAGCAAAGTTTGAAAGGTTGCTACCGTCTTCCCTTCTCTTCTGGAGTATCTCTAACGGGTAACGCTGTGACATCATTGGACAGGGTGTTCCCTTTTTGAAGCACTGTGTTTATCTGATGCGTTTGGATGGCTTTTTCCAGGGAGGTCATTTGGCTCAGCAAACTGGCTGAGACTGGACAAAATGGTAATAGCAGCGGTGGCAGAGTAATAACATGTATTAAAAACGTTAATAGTGGCCGGGCATGGTGGCTCACTCCTGTAATGCCAGCACAAGGTCAGGAGTTCATTAGCCTGGCCAATATGATAAAACCCCATCTCTACTAAAAGTACAAAAATTAGGCCGGGCGCAGTGGCTCAAGCCTGTAATCCCAGCACTTTGGGAGGCCGAGGCGGGTGGATCACGAGGTCGAGAGATCGAGACCATCCTGGTCAACATGGTGAAACCCCGTCTCTACTAAAAATACAAAAAATTAGCTGGGCATGGTGGCGTGTGCCTGTAATCCCAGTTACTTAGGAGGCTGAGGCAGGAGAATTGCTTGAACCCAGGAGGCAGAGGTTGCGGTGAGCCGAGATCGCACCATTGCACTCCAGCCTGGGTAACAAGAGCGAAACTCCATCTCAAAAAAAAAAAAAAAAAAAAAAAAATTAGTCAGGCGTGGTGGCGCACACCTGTTAATACCAGCTACTCAGGAGGCTGAGGCAGGAGACCAAATGAACCTGGGAGGTGGAGGTTGCAGTGAGCTGAGATCATACCACTGCACTCCAGCTTGGGTGACAGAGCAAGACTTGGTCTCAAAACAAACAAACAAAACAAAACAAAAATGTTAATAGCAAGGGCCAGGTGCAGTGGCTTACTCCTGTAATCCCAGAGACTCAAGAGGCTGAGGTGGGAGGATCACTTAAGCTCAGGAGTTCAAGCACAGGAGTTCAAGACTAGCCTGGGCAACATAGCAAAACCATGTACGCATCTCCAAAAAAATTAAAATAAAAAAATTTATAAGAAAACAGGACATCACTAGCTTGAAAATTTTTATTTGTAATTTCAGAATTTCAAGTTTCTTTATTGTGAAAGTGGAAAAGTGAAAACATATTAGCTAACCAGCTACAAATTACTGAAGAGACTATTACCAATAATTACCAACAAAATGAAAGAATTGTCAGGATATGCAGCCATTCTCTGACAGTGCACACAGGCTTTCATACTTTATTTTCCTTCTTACTTTATGTGGCTATGACACCTTATGGGGAGGTAAGAGTCGGGGGACACACAAGTCCTTAAAAGAAACTGTTTCTATGGTTGTATTTTTAGAACACCAAGCTGAAAGGTTATCAGAAAAGAGACGTGAAGCTTGGAGGCCTCGGACCTGACTTTGAGTCCCTGAAAGACAAAGTGAGTAAGATGAGTATACAGTGTTTCCAGGCCTGACTCAGCCCATCTGCCCTTTGGCAAAACTTAATGAAGACATCCCCCAGAATTAAGCCCTAATTTAAATGTCTCACTCTGAATAGAGTCCCTTCTGACATAACATTGGTATAGAGACCGGGACACTCCTTTTGCCTTAAAATAAAAACATTTAGCCCATGTTGTTATATGTATCTGTTTTTCGTTTCGTTTTGAAGGCCTGCACGGAAAAGCGGGACACGTGTACCTGAAAAGAAATGTGTATGTTATGTGGTTGTTGGTCTTTCCCACTAGAGTTTTCTTGATAATTGTGAAGAGTGGCTACAGAGAAGACACTTAGGGGAAGAGTTTCGCAACCCCTGAAAAGTGCATCCACTTTATTCTCTTTCCTCTAGTGAAAGGAGATCTTCATTTAATGTGTTTTAACTGCAGTTGCACTCAAGGCATAAAAAGAGAGTACAGTTCAAAGTTGGAAGCAAAAATGAAAATAAATTGGGTAAATGCAACAAAGAAGGTTCTGAATGTGATTTAGCCCCTGTTCAGGGAATGCTGGGTGTACTATTGCAGTGATGTTTCTCCTCACAGAGAGACTATTTCAAGGAGAAACACTACCTTAACCGTTTCACTGCTGCTGCCTTACTCAAGGTGATCCCATTTCACCTGTACAGCTGACAAGCTATGCCCCGTGTACTGACAGGCATCGCTTTAAATAGAGAGCAGAGAGAACTAGCAGCACTTGGATTCATCATAACTTCATTTATCTGAACAGATGCAAAACTTACTACAGCAAAAGGAATATTCGAAACAAGTCAAGGAGTACAACATGAAGACACTGTCCATTCTGTCAAAACCACAAATAGCAAAAACTGAAAATAAATCTGCTGTCCCTCGGCAGAAGGTAAGAAATTCTCAACAAGGCATTTGTTTTTTCAATCAGAATTCAAAGGAAACTTTTATTACTGCTCTTTTTTTAAAAAAAATTAGAGACAGGGTCTTGCCATCTTGCCCAGAGTGGTTATAAACTCCTGGGCTCAAGGTATCCTCCCAGCTAAGCTTCCCAAAGTGCTAGATTACAGGCGAGAGCCACCGAACCCGGCCTGTTTTCTCTTAACTTAAAACAAAAAACAAAAAACAACCTTCCCATGTTTTTTGGAACACAGGAGATGTCTTAGCTGCTTCCATTCCTGTAGCTACCCCATCATTCACAGATAGTAATGCAATACTCACACACACACACACACACACACACACACACACACACACACACACACGATGCTATAAAGTGAACCTTTGTTTCTCCTGAAGTTATTGTTCCATGTCTTTTCTTCCAAGAATGGCATTTTAAATTTGTCACACATAAAAATTAAATACTAATGTGATTTCTTAAATGAGCAATCTTCATTATCAATTTTACTTTGTATCATTAAATAAGTTTTAAGGCAATTATTGTTTTTTTGCTGCTTATCTGTCAAAGAAAAGACATATCATCATTTCTCTCAACTTCATTCCCCTACACTTTCTGTAGGGATTGCAATATATAGGTTCCTCTATTGAAGAAAAATGATTTCATGGAATACAAAATGTTCTCCCTCTCAGATGGCATCAACCATCGGTTGTGATGTGAATGAAACATGTACTATAGAGACAGAGCTCTGCAGCACAAGTCTCTGCCTCAGTTGATCTGTCTAGTCCTTGTAAGGACACGGGACCTTTGCATGAGGAACAAGAGATCCTTTGGTGCCTGCAGGATTTTGTACTTCATGTTCTCTTTCACAGACCATCGTATTTTCTATTTATTGCCTTTCTTCCTCAGACCTTGAAGACCTCAATCCACTTGATTGAGTTGCCATGGTGCTACTTTTTCTTTTTTCTCCAAGCCACTATTTTTTTCATGAAGTGTTTCAAGCAACAAACCTATCATTAGAAATATCTGTAGCAAGCCGGGCGCGGTGGCTCAAGCCTGTAATCCCAGCACTTTGGGAGGCTGAGGCGGGCGGATCACGAGATCAAGAGATCGAGACCATCCTGGTCAACATGGTGAAACACCGTCTCTACTAAAATTACAAAAAATTAGCTGGGCATCGTGGCGCGTGCCTGTAATCCCAGCTACTCAGGAGGCTGAGGCAGGAGAATTGCCTGAACCCAGGAGGCGGAGGTTGCGGTGAGCCGAGATCGCGCCATTGCACTCCAGCCTGGGTAACAAGAGCGAAACGCCGTCTCAAAAAAAAAAAAAAAAAAAAAAAAAAAAAAAAAAAAATATCTGTAGCATTCACCTGCATGCGCTGAGAAGTCTAGACTTTTCTTTTCTACATTGTAGAGGTTTTTTCCCCTTTACAGGACTGAAAGCATACTATCAACTCTCATTTCAGCTATCAACAGCCCCTTATTGAAATGCAAAACTGTTATAAAGGCAGGTTTAGAAAACATATTTAGTGATCTTATTTTTATTGGAATGCCTTTTGGAACTGACATCACTGAGAAAAAGACTGCCTTTTTTCAGCATCTAAATTGCTACAGAAAGAAAAAGAAATGTTTACCTCAAATACTTTCTAGAGCCTAGGAACAAGGATAGCTGGTATAATGATGGGGGCTCAAGTGTATGTAAACCACAGTGATATCTTTGGTCTCAAGCTGTAACAAGTCTTCTTTGGATAGAAAGGTCTATTAATATCTCTATTAATAGAAGTTTGGTTTTACTAAGACTTCTAGAAACTAAGTAGACCAAACCCATAAGAAGGAACTCAGTTTTATACAAAAGCATTCAAAAGACACAAGTGTACGTATCATTCTTCAGCTCCTTTTTTCCCCACAGTATATTGTTTTGTGGCTAAAGATTTTGTTTAAACTGTGTGTTATATTGCATTGTTTGATCTCCATTTCCACCAATGTCTTAGTAAGTTACAGCAATAGTTTCCATTTATATTATAACTAAACATTTCCTAGATTTAATTTAAGGAATCCAGGCTCACTTCCCATTTCAAATAAAATTTAATCTTTATGCATTTAGGCTTTGGAATATGCTAAGACCATCCCCAAACCCAGACCATCAAATCCAACTCATCAAGCATCAAAGGAACAACAAAATCCAACCTATGCTGGGAAAGAAGAAAGTTTACCTGAAATCTCACTGCTGGAAATGCTGCAGAGCAGACACGAAAGGGAAAAGCAGGCTGTGGCTGCTTTCAAAGTCCTTCACATCGTGTAGAAAACATTTGGTAGGGGGCCGGGCGCGGTGGCTCAAGCCTGTAATCCCAGCACTTTGGGAGGCCGAGGCGGGTAGATCACGAGGTCAACAGATCGAGACCATCCTGGTCAGCATGGTGAAACCCCGTCTCTACTAAAAATACAAAAATTAGCTGGGCGTGGTGGCGCACGCCTGTAATCCCAGCTACTCAGGAGGCTGAGGCAGGAGAATTGCCTGAACCCAGGAGGCGGAGGTTGCGGTGAGCCGAGATCGCGCCATTGCACTCCAGCCTGGGCAACAAGAGCGAAACTCTGTCTCAAAAAAAAAAAAAGAAAGAAAACATTTGGTAGGAAGGAGACCAAAAATGATCCAGGAATGAACACGGAGAAAAGAAACACCAACCATCTTCTCTGTGTTGAGAGTGATAACCTACTATTACCATCTAACTGCAGTCCATGCTTGCTTTCTGAAAGATTTAAAAGATGGGGTCCAGCTGGATTATGGTGCCATATTTTACTTTCTAGGAAGGAATTTTTTTAAATTATTTATTTTCAAATCAGTTAAAAATTGGAGCTGAATAATAACTAGAGAATAAAGCTTTTGGTTTTATATTGATCTTTTGATTTCTTAATCTCTACCCCCTTCCTTAGCATAATGGAAACCTAAAGTTACCCAGAAATAAATCTAGCTCCGTTTCTCTCTTACCTTCCTAGTAAGAAAAACAAGTATAAACACTTCAGTTTCTCCTAAAATGAACTCAGCCATAAGTAAATTTTGTGATAACATTTCAAAATATTATGAAAATCTCCAAGTTTGGCAAAAGGTTTATCTATAAAGTTGAGGACAGGCATGGTAGCTCACACCTGTAATCTCAGCACTTTGGGAAACTGAGGCAGGTGAATTGCTGGAGGCCAGGAGTTTGAGACCAGTTGGGCAACATGGTGAAACCCCATCTCCACTAAAAATGCAAAAATTACCTGGGCATGATGGCGCATGCCTATAGTTCCAGCTACTCAGGAGGCTGAGGCATGAGAATCACTTGAACTTCAGAGGCGGAGGTTTCAGTGACCTGAGATTGTGCCACTGCACTCCAGCCTGGGCAACAGAGCGAGATTCTGTTTCAACAACAACAAAAAAGGCTCCTTCCTGACAGATTCTCTGGTCGGGGTCAAAGGGATGCTAAGACAGCCAGCTGCCTGGGCCTTTGCTGACCATGCTGTCCGGGGTGGCACTTTCTGCCACTGCCACAGTGGCCCCCTCTCTGTAGAATGCAGCCTTCCTAGTCCAAGGATATTGCAAGCAACAAGGACCTTTCACACAGGGCAGCCACTCCTTGCTCCTCTGCCACCTCTTCCTTCCTTTTCCTGTGGGGGAAAAGTTCATTTTGGGCTGATCCTGGAGGAATTCTTCCAGTTTCTTTATCCTAAAACTGGTGAGGACCCTATGTACTCCAAACTGGGGCTGATCTTGTGTGCTTTATCCAAAGAAATACACATGATTACCCTGGAGACCTTCTCCACCGTATCAATAGTAGGGTTACTTCTCCATGTAATTTAAAAATATGGTGCCTCTATTGGAGAATTTGCTTATAAACTCAATCAGCAAAACATTGCCCAACTAGAGGTGAAGCAGGCTTCATCAAACAAATCCAGGATGCAATTGATTTGGAGAAGTGACAGCAGTCACTGGTTCACAAGTGCCATTACCTTTTTGATGTGCAGAGGAATAGCATTGCTATGGCTCTGGAGGTTACTTACTGGGAACGAATGCATAGAGTGTTTAAGGAAGTATGGAATCACCAGGACTCTCATATATCTCTGCAGAATGTGATGCATTGAAAGGAACAAGAGCACATGATAAATTGGGTGGAGAAGCACATGGTAAGGGCATCTCTCCACAGCAGCTTTGGGACCTAAAGCTGTTGGAAAAGAAGGTTCTCACACGACCAGTTATGTAAATGTATCTATCCCAGCTGAGACAGCCACAAACAGTTGACTGGCTAAGTGGAAACTAGTCTATGTGGCAAAATCTTTCTGTATTGCTGTCTACTAAAGTAGATAGTTTATATGTCCTAAAAATGAAACCTTTGTTCAACATACTGCGAGAACTCAATCTATTGGTCAGTCAGATGTTTCTCATCCTTCTTCCTCTGCATTTGAGTTGTTCCATGATCACTCTTTTTGTTGTTGGTTTTCTCATTTTTGTTTTCAGATAGAGTCTTGCTCTGTCACCTAGGCTGGAGTACAGTGGCATGATCTTGGCACACTGCAACCTCTGCCTCCTGGGTTCAAGCAATTCTCCTGTTTCAGCCTCCCAGGTAGCTGGGATTACAGGTGTGCACTACCATGCCTGACTAACTTTTTTTTTTTTTTTTTTTGAGACGGAGTTTCGCTCGTTACCCAGGCTGGAGTGCAATGGTGCGATCTCGGCTCACCGCAACCTCCGCCTCCTGGGTTCAGGCAATTCTCCTGCCTCAGCCTCCTGAGTAGCTGGGATTACAGGCACGCACCACCATGCCCAGCTAATGTTTTTTGTATTTTTAGTAGAGACGGGGTTTCACCTTGTTGACCAGGATGGTCTCGATCTCTTGACCTCGTGATCCACCTGCCTCGGCCTCCCAAAGTGCTGGGATTACAAGCTTGAGCCACCGCGCCCGGCCTACTTTTATATTTTTAGTAGAGACAGGGTTTCGCCATGTTGACCAGGCTGGTTTCGAACTCCTGACCTCAGGTGATCTAACCACCTTGGCCTTCCAAAGTGTTTGGATTACAGGCATTAGCCACCATGCCTGGCCTCATGATGGTTTTTGAAAGAGTAGTTTGCCTTGATTAAATCTTGGTGCCTGACTAAAGATTACCAAGTTATAGTTTAAATTTGTAATTTATTCTACCATCTTGCAATAAAGTGACAATTGAATGAAGCAAAAGTAAATAAATAATAAAGTTGAAAAAAATAAAGGTACATCTGGCTGTGCCTGCTCAGATAAAACAAATCCCAATGTTGCTCTAACAGTGTCAAGATACTACTTAGAAACCTTTCAACAAGTCCAGAAACACCTAATGCAGGCAACTCTGAGAGACACACTTTATCAAAGCTCCTTACTCCAAATACATAAACTTGTTGGGCACTTTGCCAACACAAATATCTTAAAATATTGTCAAATGCGTGTTTTCACACACACACACACACACACACACACACACAAAATAGATACAAGCATTCCATACTTTACTACTGAATGCAAATATTAATAAATATATTTTTTTATCTTTTTAAACATTGCAAGAATTCCCAGTCTTAAAATAATTACTGCAGGATTTAACTTTTTACTTTCTTTCTTGGACATTACATTTTTAGATAGGCCTATCCAGAAGTGGATAATTTGAACATCAGTTTGGGTAAATCTGTTTATCTATACATGGGTGTAAGGACTAGCTTTGGACATTTACTCCTACGTTGTATACATTTTACATGTGCCAGAATGTAGTGTAAAAGGTGCCTATACAAAACCGTCTCTTAAAACTGGAAGCAGTTAGGATTGTTATCTATAAAGATAACAACTATCTGAAGATGAACAGGAAACTGGTGAATCATGTTTCAGTGGGATTTGGAAAGTGTAATATGCGAGGCATTAGGCTTAGGAAAATCACAGGCCAAAACTACTCCTAAAATATATTTGTAAGAGAAATGGCCCCTTCTGGATGAATGAAGACATTTCTAGAAATATGAGGTAGAATAAATAACCTTCATTAATTTTTTCCTAAATGGCCTTAAACTTGAACTTGATCTGGAAGAGAAAACTAATGCATACAGAGACATTCATATTTAAAGGGACAGGGTAAAAATGTTAAATATTCCATTTGTATTAGAATATCTTAAAAGAATTTAGAGCTTGGAAAGAGTTTCTCACATTCAACTGACAGTTTTTCAGAGGAGGAAATGAAGGTCAAGAGAAAGGCTACATGATTGAGAAATCCATCAGTCCTACTGAGAGTAACGGGAGGATAACCAGGTCTGAATCTCCCATCTTTCAACACTAGGAGTAGTACTGCTTATTTGTCTATGGAAGGAGGTTGTCTTGTTTCTTTGTGTAGACGAAGAACATGTAGTTGCTATGAATTTCTGCTTTGGACCTGATTTTCCACCAAGTTCAGTTTTTAGAAATATGCATTACTGGACAGGGAAAATGTGGTACATATACACCATGGAATATTATGCAGCCATCAAAAACGATGAGTTCATGTCCTTTGTAGGGACATGGATGAACCTGGAAACCATCATTCTCAGTAAACTGACACAAGACCAGAAAATCAAACACCGCATGTTCTCACTCATAGGCGGGTGTTGAACAATGAGAACACATGGACACAGGGAGGGGAATACTATACACTGGGGTCTGTTAGGGGGAAATGGGGGAGGGACGGCGGGGTGGGGAGGTGGGGAGAGATAGCATGGGGAGAAATGCCAGATATAGGTGAAGGGGAGGAAGGCAGCAAACCACACTGCCATGTGTGTACCTATGCAACAATCTTGCATGTTCTTCACATGTACCCCAAAACCTGAAATGCAATTTAAAAAAAAAAGAAATATGCATTACTATGTATCTAATAATTTTTTAGCATGTACAATCTGCCAACTTCCTTACTATATTGATAAAATTAGAAGACACATATAAAGCAACTCAAACTTAGAAACTGATCAATAAGAGACACTATTTATTTTCTTTTTTTTTCCAGAACATTTCACAAACTTTCCATACTGTTTTTCTGTTAGCTTAAGCGTTGTTAAATTCTTCATTTTCACACCTACTGTCAAGAACCCACACTTAGAGAAGCAGCTTAAGTGCTTCAGTTCATGGCAAACATTTCACAGGATTCTTACTCCCAAGGCAACTCTTTACTATCCAGTACATAAGACTCTAGAACATTAAAATTCTTTATATAGTGCCATGTGACATCTAAAATAACTTTGGCTAAGAAATAAAACGTATTTGATGAACATTTGGGGTTGAAATCAAAGAATGGATCAAAGTGGCCC